CCCCCTATTTCCTAAACGGGCTGTATGCTCATCTTGAAATTTTGCAGGGATTATTGGGTCATCATATGTAACTATTTGGCATAATAAAAGTTTCAAAAATCGAGGTACCGAAAACGGGCATTTTTTGTATGGAGCTTGGTCAGGCTCTTTGGGCTGCCAATTTCACTGATTGTCGCTGCTGATTTCGAACATCAAGATGTTTTTGCGTCAAATTAAATGCAATTTTTAAATCACGAGAATTGAGAGTTAAAAGTTCCTCCAGCAATCGCTTTATAATTGGATTTCAAAGCCTGAATAAAAAAAATTATTTCGTAACATCTTAATTAAATCAGTATATCAGCGAAAACAAAAATCTTTAAGGCGTGATTCTGTGGATGTCGAAAGAAAAATGTTGTCGATTCCAATTTGTCGGATAATTGATAATCGATATTTAACTCTGACCATATATAGTCCTACGTTTTTTGGTCCTAAATCATTGGTTATTGCGACTACTGTATAATTTATTTTATATAGCGCTGATATTATTTGGAATAATATTTCTTTCGTCATTGGCTGTGAAAATTCGTAATAAATAGACTGTTTCCATTTAGAGAAAAGGCCTCGGACCATGACAACTTGGCAAGTTTTGTGCAACCCATAAACTATATTATTATGCACAAGAGAATGTTTCGAAGACGATAATGTAGATGAGGATGATCTGGAAGTTGCATTGATATATAACATCGAAAAATTGCATTCGTCTGAAATAACAGAAATAAATAATTATGTAAATGAAGAAAGTGATGATCTAGGTGATTTAATTAATTTTAATTTACTACTTTTAAATACGTATCTAGTTAAAAACTTATTAATTATTTAGTAGTTGTTTAGAGTTGCGTTGTAAGTCTGAAAAAATGTCAGCATGCGATTAAGGGGACTACATACGTAGTAAATAAAATTCACACATTACATTAGCAACCAAAATCCTGCTTGACCGTCACTTACCCGATTACATATCATATTTACTTACTTTTAAATATCGACGATCCAACACAAATCGTAATTTTATTAATTATTATTAGTTCTAAAACGGCTGAATTGTATATCTAAAATTG